GACCAAAACCACCTCAAGATACTGAGGAAAACTCTTCACTTTAATTTGCAATCAATATTTAATGAGTATTACCTCAGTTTCATAAAAAAGGAAAAGAGCATCAGTCAAAAGAAATTAGAAATGAAAGATTAGCTTTTCCAAAAATATTCTCCAACTTAGCCATCAAAGTCAAAGCACGTAACTTGCCAAGCAGATGTCCTGTTGAAACCCTTTACACCAAGGTAAAGACCAATACTAACTGGTCATTTCTCATTCTACTTGTAAAACAGAAGCTTTAATGCCAATGCAGGGCACTACAGATGCGTATCCTAGTAACTAATGAATGCTATTCCCTAATCACCAGGACGTGTTAAGTCTCAATGTCAGTTCTACAATGAAAAAAATGAAGTAAATCCATCAAGAGGCCAAAGCAATTGATGAATCCAAAACTGAACCCAAATAACGAGCTAAATGCCACCATTCCCAGCCCCACTCCACTGCTCATCCAGGGTAGGTCTTTTGTGTTCAGAGCCCTCATTACCCTTCCTCCTGTAGACCGTCTGTCACCAAGCCCTATGAACCGAGACCCTCCAAGCTGCGGGGGCCACGACTGATTCTCAGTGATGATGCCTGAAGCCAGCAAAATTCTCATTCTTAAGCCTCTACATTTTCCTGACTTCTCACAATACATTTGTTAACACAAAGTAAGATTCTAATACAATATGTAATTTCAAAAAGCGGTAAAGTCAAACTACTAAACTGGATTGTCTAGGGATGCATTCATCGTAAATGAAATGCAAATGCATAAAAAGCAAGACAACAGTTACCTCCAGAGGAGGGGAGAAAAAGCCTTTGACTGAGACAAAACGGGTAGGGTAGGGAGATTTCTGGTAGCGCTGCAATGTTTTAATTCTCAGTCTGAGTGCTGGTTACACAGGTGCTGGCTTTCACATTATTCATTAGACTATATGTATACTGGTTTTATGTACTTCTCTGTTTATTACATTTCTCAATTAAAAATGTTTATAGAAAGGCAAGACCCCTTGACTCACAAAAAATATTTAAAATCACAAAATGTACAAATAAGATCAGAAATCCACTAAAAAGGATAATTTAACTAGTAAATATATACAGTTAAAAAATGTATACATGTAACTAGTAAATCATTGCTATTGTTCAGTCGCTAAATTGTGTCTGACTGTTCATGACCCCATGGATTATAGTATGCCAAGCTCCCCTGTCCTCCACCATCTCCTGGAGTTTGCTCAACTACTAAATACGTATGTTTAAAAAATACTTCTGTCCCGCCAGCAGCATTTTTCTCCTTATCAAAACAAACATTTGCCTCTCAAATTAATAAAAGTTAACGAAAGTATCACATCTACTACTGGTGAGCATGGTAAAATGGTTCTCATACTCTGAAGTGATCACTAAAGCAACTTTGCCTTTTGAGATAGAAATTCTTTAAATCTCCTAAACTATGAGACTAATTAAAGAATAAAGAGCCTACCCTCAATGCTTTTTTTTTAACAGCTAGAAGTCAGAACCAACAAAAAAATAGATAACAACATTATTTAAGAAAATAATGTAGATCTATTTGAGGAACTGTGAGTTACCCTTTAATTTGATCTTATGGTTACTATAGTTATATTTTTAAAAAATCTTCACTAGAAATAAACATGGAAATATTTATGTATCAAATGATTATATAGGATTTCTACCCTTATAACAGGTAAGGGTATGAAAAGTAGGTGAGGATATGAAAGAAACAAGACTGGACAGTAGTTGATAACAGCTAAAACTGAGGAAGGAGAATTTTCTATACTGGTATTTGGTATATGTTGAAATTCCTCATAATTAAACAAAATTTTTTTAACTAGGGAAAAACTAAGGTGATGAACTGAAATTATGTATCTGCATCTTTTTAAGCAAAGAAAAACAGATACAATAGGAAGGAGGGAAGAAAAACAAATCAAAATCCTATGTTTATGTTAAGAAGCCGGTGTATTTTATTTCCAAACTTTGTTTTATTATGTTTATAGTTGAAATCTACCGAGCTATTTAATCTACTATTTTAAACATAATTTAAAGCAAATAGTTTCTAAATTCCAGTTAACCAGAGATTCCTGAACCTACCTAAGACAGATACAGTGAATTATTTTTCTGTTCGGCATCTACTTCAGATTCTTCCTGGCTTTTTAAGCTAGTGTTACAGCTATTCTATTTTGAAACCTAGTTTCTTCCACTGCACATTTATGTATCAAATGTCTGTCCTAAAACCAGCATTTTGTTACTTTATATTTTAGCCAAAACCACGAATCTTGTCATTTCTTTCAGACAGTTAAAAAAAATCAAATATGGACAGTTCATGTGTGATTATATCCGTTACTCATAAACTGTTAATTAACTAATGCCATAATAAATATCGTACTTACCTGAAAAGTTTATTCTGCAGTTCTATTAAAATCTGTGTGCATATATGTCTCATTGTCATAAAGAAAAACTAAATGTAGGTAATTCATTCTGAAATACACTTACCAGGATGATTAGAAATGGGAGGCTGGAATGCAAGCTCATTGTGAACTGGTGGCCCTAAAGAAAAGACAGCAAAAAAAATCCCATTTTTATTTATTAAAAGTTTTCCAGTGCCAAAACTTTTAATAAACCTTTAAATATAACTATTATACCTTAGGAATTGTTTAGATCAAGTTTATACAGTGTCTAAGAACTTAAAAACTTGGTTTAAAATTATACTACGCAAGTAGTCTTGAAATCACTTTTTTCTTGAATTGCTTTTGCAGACATTTAATAGCCAACATTTTAATGCCATATGCCAACTATTAATTTATAATAACTATACATGCAAATAGTTTAAATACATGCAAACTTCAATGCAAATTATAAGTAAATTATTCATGTAACATGTAATATACTGTAAGATATATAATTATAATCCAAACTTAGGTCCATTTTAAAATAAGTGTTTATGGATTTATTAAATTAAGAATATTTACAAACTGGCAATAACTGAGAGATCATTATGTGTTAAGACATTATGTTAAACGAATCACATGAATTAATACATTTACTTCTTACAGCATCCCTTGAAATATATACTATTATTATTACCCTTAAGGCTTAGGGAGGTTAAGTAACTTGCCAATGGTCACACAGGTAGTTAAGCATTCACACTCAGCACCCTTAACAACTATGCTGGCCAGGCAGCCAGTAAAAGTTACACTCTCTTAAGACAGGGAAACATAGTAACATAACTATAAAAAAGCAAGGTACAGTAACATATTCACAGTCTGATAGCCTCCTCACCCCAAATTAACACATACACCAATTATGACTGGAAAGAAACATGTGACAAAATATTAAGAGTAGATATCTCTGGGTAGTAGAATTCTGGATAATTTTTATTTTCTTATTTACTCCTCTGTGTTATTTTCCAAGTTTCCTTTGGTACTATTACTCTTATAATGGAGGAAAAGGGTTTAATATATATGAAAGATTTATACTCTTGATTTTATTAGGGCAAATGAACTATGTTCCTATTCTGCCTGAAACTACAAGGTACAGTTGGTTATCAGTAGGGTACCCCTCCCAATCAAGCCTGCACAGAATAATGACAGATTCAACATCTGTGTGTCTACGGTATGCTGAACTCTACAGTGAGAGAAACCTTGAGATCGTGACTCTCAAGGAGTTTCAGTCCACTTAGGATGGATATACAGATACACATGAGATCTAAGAACATATACAAAACAAATGAATGGCAATCAATGTGGTGTTAATGAAACATCAGCAAGGAAGAAATAAAAGTGTTTTGTAAATATCAATCCTCTAAAACAAAGGTATGAAAACGTAACTATGAAAAACTGAAAAGCACTAATCATTTAATGAAACTAAATTGTAAGATGGACAAAAGATGGAAAAACATTATTTAAAAAACGAAAAGAAAACAAACTTCAGAAAAGAAAAGCCCTAAGAACAAAACAAGAGCTTACAGTAATGTCCGGGGTGGGGCGGCATAGGCGGGTGGTGCTGAAGATGGCCGTTTTGGTGGTGAGGCAAATTAGGTGTGTATGGTGCGGTCCTACTTCCCGTCCAGGTGGTAGTGCTGTCTAAAAATTAAGGCCCACATGGGTTAATGTGCTTTCAGAAAGTCTGCCTGTTTTTTCTCAACTACTGAAAAGATTTTAAAAAGCATGTACATACTATGATGATAAGTAGCTGGCTGACCAGTAAATCCATTCTGCTGCTGTCCTGGCTGAGGCCCTGAAGCTATCTGCAACAATCCTTCACTATGGCTGCCTGCCAGTATACTGGCGGGCTGACCTAGAGGAACAAGAAGACATTAATATGGTACATTTATAAATGCAATCCTATGGCTTTATACAGTAAATGAAGGATTAATTACACCTGAAAGTCACAACTATAAAGATGAGCAAAGAGTGGAACTCACCCATGGCCTATCAAATAAAAAACCCTACACTCATCTATAAAGGCAAATCTTAATCTGAAGAAGTTCTTTAAGTAATATCTAGCTAATTTTAGTGGCCCATTTTCACAAATATTCTCCAAATGCCAGCAAAACCCCAGTACAGGTCTAGCCTATCTTAATAACTTCTTCAGAAGTACATTAGCTCACCCACAGCCACTCCATCTAGCTTTTGCATCTTTCTGTTAGGATTCCAAAAGTCCAGGCTCAAGGAAATGTTGAAAACTGGAAAGTTCATTATTATCAGCAATGGTACTAGTAATGGCAGAATGCTAAAGTCCAATAAAAAAGCAGAGCAGGCAAGTATTTCAAATGGAATGTAATGGATAAGGTGAGAAAGTTAAGGGGAAAAAAGGTAAGCTCCACTGTCCAGTCAACGCAGCATCTGCGAGTTTTAATGAATAAAACAAACCAAAAGAAATCAGTCTATTTTGAAATTTTCTCATGTACTTTTAAAAATCAAGAATTGCCTCCAAGAACACTATCATATTTCTGGATTTACAGGAAGTTAGTTGCCCTCTCTGTATGTAATATAACAGGAGAACTATTCTATTCAAAACCATTCTATGAAATTGCTTACATTTTTAAGGCTTTATCTTTTGTGTGGAAAAAGCTAAATTTTTTCAAGCAAGTATTAATTCAACTGTGCGTCTCACTTGGAAAGCACTAAAATTCCATAATTATTGTTACTGGCATTACCTCAATCTTTTCTCATCCATATGAGAGTATAATCAGATAGAACAGAGTAAATGACACCATTGCTCAAATATGCAACAAACAGCTCAAAGTATCAAGAAAAAAGAAAATTTTTCTTCCTGCTACAAATCAGATTTCTGTAAGGCTAAGATTGTAAAATTAAAAGCTAAAGAGACTGTTTCAATACTCCCTGTTTATTTTTAAAGATGATGTTTTCAGCAACCTCCCTTCCTACTCATCCCCCTCAAATTTTTACAGGTTACCTTTAAAGGTTAATTATATATTTGCTGTTGTTTTTAACAACTGTACATGCTATATACTCTTAATTATCTTATAAAAATTATCACTATACAAAAGAAATTAAACTATTTTAATTAAGAAAGAATCCCTTAAGATATTCAGGTTCCAACTGAACATAACACCCACTACAGTTATCTATACTGAATACTTTCATTACACAATTCCAAGTACATAAAATGAAATTAAATAACTCATGAAGTCTTTCAATTCCTCTATTTTAGTCATTTCTTTCCCTTTTTCTAATTTTATCAATATACTTTTTAAGATCTAAGGAAACATTCTGCAACAAATTCTAAAACTTACAATTACTACTCATTGTGAAAATACATCCAAAAAACACCAAGACAAAATTATCCATATTTCGTTCATACCACTTTTTCTGATCTTGACTAGGACTTGGTCCCAGGGAACATTAATGGTTAAAATGAAATTGCATGAGCAATTATCAACAAAGGCATGCAAATTCAATCCTCAGATAGTATCAGCAGAGGTAAGTGGCACTAATCTATGCTCAAGTGGCTATAATGTACCTTCTTTTATTTTCCTTCCCTGTCCACTCGTTTATCAACTATATTCCCAAACTGGTAAATACAGAGATAACAGAAGCACCAAGTGATTAAAGGTTCAGGCTCTAAAGTATGTGTGTTTAACCTATATCGTCCAACCTATTTGGAATACGCTGTCTATATGAAAACTGTCATCTTGTGTAGGAAATACAAAAGATATTATTTGAAAAGGTGAAATAAATTAAAGCGGGGGAAATCTGATGTACTTTATGTGAAATTCAACTATAGAAATAAATCCTCCATCTGTTCCAAAGATCAAATTTCTATGTTGAACTTGATCTGATATTAAAGTAAATAGAATATGCTTCCTTTGGTATCAATATACAAAGCATCAGTCCAGATGCATCAACAATTCACTGCTGTTGTGGGCTGAGATACAATCTCCTTAGTACCAAGGAACAAATAACACAGTAATACAAATGCCAAGACCCTGTTCTGTGATTAATTAAAAAAAAAAAAGGAACAATGCGGAGTGGGGACGAATTGGGAGACTGGGACTAACACACATACACTACGATGTATAAAACAGACAACTACTGAGAACCTACTATACAGCACAGGCAACTCTACATGGTGCTCTGTGGTGACTTATTGGGAAGCAAATCCAAGAAAGAGGAGATGCATGTATACATACGGCTGATTCACTTTGCTATACAGCAGAAACTGACACAGCAGTGTAAAGCAACTATACTCCAATTTTTTTTTTTAAAAAAGGCCACTCCACTTGCCAAGCTGAAAACTGTCCAATATAAGGTCATTATTGCCTTGACCAGGCCCCAAGAAAAGCTGAACCTACTCGCCCTCTGCTTCCATGACACAGCAGAGAAGGCAGTACCTCTAAACTGGAAAGAATCTTTTTAAAACATACTTCTTGTTAGGGAAAAAAAGGATACATATAATTTAGCTTTATTTCAAAATTGACTAGAACACTTAACATCTATCTTGAGGGTCATATGTTACAAACAAATTTGTCAAGATCCTTTTTTCTAATAAGCTTGTACAACTGGAGACTGAGATGATGATTATAAAGTAATCTGCTGGATAAAGCAAAATAAAAACACTGATTAGAGGAAAGCTTGCAATTCCATTAATACAGACTTCTATAAACATCTTGGTTCAAAACTATTTGTTCTCTAAAATTTATGTGAAAGCACAATAGACTTCTTCTGCATGTAATAAAGAACTAATTAGACCACTAATTTAGAGCATTACTTAAATTCCAAGGGACTATACATCAATATAAGACGGTTTATGTTCTGTTACATTAAGATAAATTGAAACTTTTTAAAATTACAAATACCTTTTTTTTTTCCCCAGGACAACTCAAAAACCTATTTGATGCTTATTAACCTATGAAAGATAACCACAGTACTTTTAATATTCACTTACTTGGAGGTCTCCTCCAAGTGACTACCTATAAATATTAAATGGTTAGGAAAATTCATCTTGCTGACTACATCTGACTCTAGAACTCACTTGTGGAAGCCACAGGAATGTTGGGAAAATTGGTGGTGCTGGTAGCATTAGACTCAGATGGAGCTAAGAGAGCTGGGGTGCTGTATGTCTCCGTCGATGCACGATTACTTGGTGGATGCTGGATGGTTTGAATTGAATGCCCTTCAGTGGATAATGATGGCTGTCCCTCAAAGTCATGAACATATTCATCCTTCACCAACATACTTGGTGGAGCTACACAGAAAAACAAACAAATTTTAAAATCTTATAAGCTTTTATTTCCAGGGGAAAAAAAATCTTGTAAGTAACACATAACACCTAAAATCAACTAGAGTATAACTCAGAATTTTCTCATACTACTTTAAAAGCATTCTACTTTTATCAGCAGAAGCTATTTATTTAGAGATAGTGGCATCAGATCAATCTGATTAACTCCTTGAAATCTGAAGGCGACTAAATTCCGACAACCTCCAGCTATGGTCCTGAAAAGGTATTTCTGAGCTTCCCAATTAATAACCTAAAGGTAATAATCACCTTCAATATATAACATAGGCAAAAATCAAGTGGCTGGAGAAAGTGTTTACCTCAGTAAGAAAATCAAATTTGAGATTGAGTAATCAATTTTTTTCATCTTTTTGCTAATTTCACGTAAAAATATGAGTGGGATCTGACAGCTATCCAATGCTAGGATCCAACATTATTAAGTAATGTATTCTTTGAAAGTGAAGTATACTAAATGTCCCCTAAAAAATTAGAACGAGCAGAAAAATCTCAAATGGTAAGTCATACTGAAATTTCCTTCTAGAAACCCAATCCAAATAATGATGCTTGATAAATATGTAGTGTGAAAAAACTCAATAAACAACATCTTTCTCCTACATGGTTACACCCTAATGCAACCCTGTAAACTGACCCTACTTGATACAGCATCTTTTTCTTGAACAAACCAGGAATAGTTAGTTGGCTTTACTGTGAGGAAAAAAAGAAAACTGAAAGTGCATTTATAGTATCAGTGGCTCTGCCCAGAACTTCCCACTTCCTTTTAGGTGACAGTTTTGGGTTTTGCTTTTTATCTTAGCAAGCAACCCTTTACTGCACCTGAACTAACACTGCCCTACAATTCTACAATCTACTGAGCTCTTAACACGAGGTTCTGCTCTTAGAGCAGTCAACAGTCCACAAAAAGCCATTCTCTTTTCCATTAAGAATCAGCATGCAATGCTCCTTATCTTTCTCTATGTCACTCTTTGAAAAAATAATTGGCAGTACCTAAGGAGGAAGTTACTAATTTGAGGACACAGCTGGTTACCTTGACATTCATTGCTTCTGCTTTCCAACTGACATTCTGGCTTACTGTGTAATCATAACACTAGAATTATGGGAATTCCCTGATGGTCCTCTGGTTGGGACTAGGTGCTCTCACTGCCATGGCCCAGGTTCAATTCCTGATTGGGGAACTAAGAGCCTGCAAGCTGCACAGCGCAGCCAAAAGAAAAAAGATCTGAAAATAATTAAATTCTGCTTTTAAAAAGTTATGTCTCATAACTTTTTCTTGCCTAACACATTGACTAAACCTTTCCAAGTGTTAAGTTCAGAACTTCTACCAGTCTACACGTCTCTTTAATCAAGTAATTTAAAACAAGTTTCTTAGGTAAAACTGGGCATCAACAAGGAGAGATGTCTGTAATACATTTTTTCCAAGAGCAAAAAAGTTGGTTACAAAACACTACTATACACTATAATCATACTCACGTTTCAAAAAATCATATACTCTAAGTAAAAAAGCAAGGTCCAGAACAGTGCACAATATGCTTTTTGTGTAAGAAAGGAGGGAAATAACACATGTATTTTTGCTAAAGAAACCCTGGAAGGAAACACCAGAAACTAATAAAAGTGATTACCTGAGGTAGGGGGGAATGGGGACAGGGGTGGGAGCACTTCTTTTCACTGTATACTTTTTTATAGTATTTTGATTTTATGGACCATGTATTGCCTATTCAAAAAAATAAAATTAAAAAAACATATAGTATATATTTTTAAAGTCCAGGAAACAGACACCAAACCACCAAGTATTTCTCTTTATGGACTAGCATTCAACAAATTAATTCATTGAAAAAAATATTTATTGAGCACCTATGTTTCAGGTACTGTTCTAATACTTGGGATACATCAGTAAACAAAAGAAAGACCACTGTCTTCGCAAGGCTTACAGTCTTTTATGATACTTAGGTATTTAAACAATAGTGAGCCCCTCCCAGCTGCCTTAATCTTGGGCAAGTTCCCTGACCTCTCCAGGAACCAGTTTATTTGTATCTGACAAAATGTGGATAATGCCACCTATCATGTAGGAGTATTATAACAATGATGACACAATATTTGTAGATCATTTTGACACAGAATAAGTACCTAGCAAGTGTTAGCTATTATGATTTAACCATATTTTTAGAGCAGTCATACACGTATATAGATTGTAAAATGCTCTATGAGGAGTAAAGAACTCACAGCGGACAGAAGAGCTGAAGACACGGAGCTCATCCTAGGTCTCTGCTCTTTAACACTAATAGCAAGCAGGGCACGGCTGTCTGATGGTACTGCCACTGTCTTATTTACCTTTTCTTTCCTCCATTAGACTATGTGCTTGCTCGAATGGAAAAAACATACCTTATTTATCCTATCGTCCCTGGAACCTAACACAGTACCAGGCAATACATGCTCATTAAATATTTGTTAAAATCAATACACAAGTGGATGCGGTCATGTAAAGTTTCATCAAAGAGATGAGAGACAGGCTGGAAATAATTACCACCAAGATCCCAACTCAAAAGTGAAGGAATTACACCATTTGCTTAACTTTTAGCTACCTGGCCTTATACACTTTGTCCAAATCTAAAAGGACCTTGTAAGAAACACCTGTCATTTTCTGAGGAAAGAAGTCACTGAGGCCAGCCTTTTTTTATAGACAGCCACCACTAGGGGGATCCCTAAGGCTGAATACAGGGCTAAAGCAACTGAAAAGGGCTATCAACCCACACAATTCCATCCAAGACAAGCACTCATAACAGCAACAGTTTAGGACAGGAAGCAGTGTAATGAGTCTTCAGAATTAGATCACATCACAACCTCTCCCTAGGGGGATTGTAATACAGTTATCAACCTAACACCCACTGAGTTAAAAGCTTTCATTCTCCAAAAATGCAAATGGAGAATAGTGAATATCTAAAGGGTGTTTACTTTCAAAAAGAGGTGACATGATATCAGTGTCTGGCTGATGAATAAGCTGGGCTTTACCCAATTAATCTTAAAGCTACCCTTTCAGACCACAACAGCTTCCATTATCAACCCACTGTTCTCAGAAACCAACTAACCCTTAACAAATACCAAAAGGCACCAGTCTTTCTTTATTATTATTGACATGGAAAAGTGGAGAATAAAAACAAGTAGCCTTTCATGCTCTTACCCATTTTAAGGTCAGATGATACTTCTGACCCATTTCTAGGATTCCGAAGCAAAAGTGCCGCTGAACCATTAATTCCCCTTCAGAACAACAGCGCACCTTTCTAAGGTGATACAGTATTGGTTTAGTTGCTCAGTTGTGTCTGACTCTTTGGGACCCCAGACTGTAGCCCACCAGGTTCCTCTGTCCATGTGACTTTCCAGGCAAGAATACTGGAGTGGTTTGCCACTTCCTCCTCCAAGGGATCTTCCTGACTAGGGTTCAAACCCAGGTCTCCTGCATTCCAGGCAGATTCTTTACCATGAGCCACCAGGGAAGTCTTCTAAGGTGATGGTGGCTTTTTATCAGTTTCTGTTCAAAGTAACTAGTTCTTACAGAAATTTTAGCTCATTAACATGTTTCAAGAAACAGAGCTAAAGTTTTAACAGATCTCTGTTCTCAAATACTACACACACACAAAAAAACACCCTCTTATTTGTTTCATTTTCCTATCTCAAAACTTTCTTTTAAAAATAGGCTTAGAACATCTGTGATTGCCATGTACTTTAAAGTAGCCTTGTTTTATTTACTCAAAATATAATAAGACTGAAAAAAATATAATATAGTTTTAAGTCATTCACAAAATTATCAATCATAAAAATAAGTTTGGCTGAAATGAAGAAAAATGAGAATTTGGGTTTTTAAACTATGTTATACATGATTCTAAATTACCAAACAGGTTATTTACACCCATTGAAACTGGTTCTGTGAGATTTACTTCTAAAATAGCCCGTTTTTACCAGTTCAAAAGTTACTCTTTCTTTGTATGTTTTATGTTCCCCACCACATTTTTTAGACTACTTGTAGTCATAAATAGCAGTTTCAATTCAAAGAGTCAACAGCCTACTAAATCCAGTTTGTTTTAAACCCAGTTTTAAATGCTGATGCTGCCCCACTCCTGCAAAACATGCACTTTCAAAGCAGTCAGTGCTTCTCTTGTAAAAGCTACCAGCACCCGCCCACACAGATTAATTCTAGGTCAATAAAAAATAAAGGGATGAGATAAAAGAAAAGAGAGTTAAAAGAAAGGGATTACCTACCATTACTCTGCAGTGTTAATCCTGAGAGATCTTAAATTTTTAAAGGGGAAAAAAAATAAAACATTAATCATTATCATGAAAATAATTTCCACTATATTTAAAATTACAGAATGTAAATTTAAGCCAGGGATTCAAAATTTCCATGAACCATTTCAATTCAAGAATAGTAGTGTAAATGCTATCTAACAATGCAAAAGTGCTTTTCACCTTATTTTTCAAGACCAGTGTTCTAAACGGGCAAAATACCAAGTATGTACACTTAGTTTTAGCAGTCAAAATATAAGCTTGCTCAGAATTCAAATTTAAATACACATATTTCATTAAAAATGTCTGACTTTTAACATTAGTTGAAATCCTGGGCTATCTCCAAATTTACAATTTAACTTAGAAAAATTAAAACACTATTGATATCTTTTCCCTTTATGCTTCTAGGCATTAAAGCCAAGTCTACTTACCAATTCCAGGTGATACAACTCGTTCATAGTGATATGGATTCACACAGACACTATCACATTTTAAGTCAAATGCATACTGACAATATTTAACATGTTTTAGTTCATTTTTGTGAAGGTCAGGCCACCTCCAGAGACGGGCATAGATCACATGAGGAAATCCCTTCCGACCAGCCACCTAAGAAAAGTAAATGACCATTTAATGAACATCAATTATGCATCACACAATATACAAGGTACTTGATACATTCTCATTTAATCCTTACAATCCTACAAAGTTAGTATTATAATTCCTATTTCTTAAAAGAGAAAACTAAATGCTCAAAATAACTGGACAAGGTCACAAAGTAGTAAACTTAAGTATGATTTCAAGGCTTATGCTCAGGTTTTAAAAATACACAAAAAAGTATGCATTTAATGAAGAAACAATACCTAAAATCTAGAAATAAAAAATTTTAAACCTAACAATATGCTTTCTGTATGTTTCTTTAAAAATATTAAACACATGAGATTATGTAATTCTACATGAATAATCTGATCCCTGAAAGTAAAAGGTAAAGATTTGTAAATTTAAGTTAACTCCGTAAGTTTTAAAAATATTGTTGAATTCTTCTGGATTGTTTTTCACATAAAAGTACTAGACATACAACACCAGATTTCTAAATTATTAAAAAAAAAAAAAAACAAACCTGAGTTGTACATATAATACCAAAAAAGAAAAAAAGGCTACAAGGATGAATACCAAAGTGCTGAAGATGTAGGTTTTCTTCTAATTTTTATTTTCCAAATTTTATATATGAACATTTTTTTTAGTCAAAACATTTTTCAAATGTTCTAAGCTATACCTCTATTGTAAAGAAGATACATCCTTCCATTTATTTCCATAGTGTATCAGAACAGGATCATGTATTGATAATATCTGTGCTATAGGGTGTACTACAGTATCTAAAGAGATGCAGCAAGCATGAAATTTCTGTAGTAACTTAAGAGGAAACAAGAATTTGTAAAAACCTACAAAAGAAACTCTGGAACAAGACTAACCTGAAGCCTTCCATCCAATGTTCTCTGTATGGTAACACATTTGCTAGGGTGAGCTCCATTTGTAGTTATAGCTGTTATTAAAGAATCCAATTCATCTTTTTTCTCCTTCAGCTTTTTTACCAAACTTTCAATTGCTCTTTTGGCAAATGTTTCACTCTCTCCACCTTGTCTATGGCACATCAAACTATGTACAATGCTCAGACAGGCATCATTACTTGTTGGTGTATTCGTAATAGACATATTGTCCATTTGTTAAGGTTATTTCTTTTAAATCAAATATGTCTCCAATTTCTGGAGCAATTTTGATCTTTCAGAGGCAGCGAAAAACAACAGTTAACGTTGCAAGGAAAATTGTTAGACATGTAGTATTCAGGATAATCTAAAAAAAAAGAGAGAGAGACAGATATCAGAACACATTTCACAAAGCAGATTCAATTACTTTGGAAAAGATGAATTGCTTCAGTTAAGTCAAAGACTCAATGCACAAAATTAAATATGGTGCTTAAAGTTTTAAATTACTTAAAATGTTGCCGTTTTTTACATTACCAAAACATTAAAGTTAGGCCTTATTATTATACAGGCATGTTCAATCAAGTCTTGTTGACTGTATTAGTCACCCTAAAGTAAAATCTTAACAGAACTTTTAAAATGGATTACTTCTGAAGAGCAGCACTTTAAAATATTCTTGATTAACAACTAGCTAAAGCTAAAAGTCTATCACTAATACACATGAAAAATTCGCCATCACCTGGTACCAAATGCTGTTTATCCATCAGCAACGGCCATCTTTGTTATAAGAGACCACTGACAACAATAAAAAGATGAATAATTTTTAAATGGGCAAAGGATTCTAACATTCACTTCTCCAAAGAAGGGCCAACAAGCACATGAAAGATACTCAGTATCATTACTCATTACTGAACTGCAAACCAAAACTACAAAGAGATACCACTTAACATTCACTAGGTTGGATAAATCTAAAGAGACAAAAAGCATTTGTGAGAAAATGGAACCCTCATACACTGCCCGTGGGATTGCAAAATGGTATAACCACCTTGGAAAAGGACTCTTGACAATTCCTCAAAATGTTAAACACAAAAAATTACCATATAATCCAGCCATCATACCCTTAGCAATTCCATCTAAAATTACCAAAAATCTATGTCCACACAAAAATATATACATAAATGTTCATAGCAGTATCATTCCTAATAGCCAAAACAACGCAAATGCCCATCAACTGATGAATGTATAAATACATACAATGTAATATTATCTAGTCATAAAAAAGAATGACTTACTGGTACATGCTTCAACATGGATGAACCTGGAAAACATGCTAAGAGCAAGTCACAGAAGGCCACATGCTGTATAACCCCATTTATATGAAACATCCAGAACAGGCAAAGCACCAAGAAAAAAAAGATGGATTAGTGGTTGCCAAAGGTTTGGGGGGGAGGGTGAGCAGTGACTGCTAATAGGCATGCAGTTTCCTTTGCGTCAGTCACTCAGCCCTGTCTTGACTCTTTTCAACTCCATGAACTATATATCGTGCCAGGCTCCTCTGTCCATGGAATTCTCCAGCAAGAATACTGGAGTGAGTAACCATGTCCTTCTCCAGGAGATCTTCCCAGCCCAGGAACCGAACCCACATCTCCGGCGTCTCCTACACTGCAGGCAGATTCTTTACCACTGAGACACCAGTCCTTCAGGGCTAATGAAATGTTCTAAAATTGATACTTGTGACAGCTGCATAACTCTGTCACTATAGGGAAAACCATCGAATCATACACCTTAACCAGGAGACTTTCATAGTATGTGAATTAACACATCAATAAAGTTATTATTTTTTTTATCTTTTTTTTCCATCTATTTTTATTAGTTGGAGGCTAATTACATCATTATAGTAGTTTTTGTCATACATTGAAATGAATTAGCCATGGACACATCAATAAAGTTATTATTAAAAAAGAGACACTACTGAATTCCTCAGAAGATTTTACCCATAAAAGCAACAAGGTAAGTTCCTTTCAAAAGAAATTAAAATATAAGAATATTCATTAAAACTCCATTCAACATCTGTAACACAAACTAACTTATCTAACCTCAAAATCTCATGTGGAATAAGAAAAGGCCACCAGCCTAAGAACAAATGCAATGAAGCGGGAGTGGAGGCTGTTCTCAAGCCGGGTTGTTTTGCACGCGTTTGCTGATATTGCTGCGTCCTACGCTTGTTTTACTTTTATTTTCTTTGGCTATTTACTTGAATTTTAAAAACTCATTCTCCACTACCAAATTAATAACTAACTCATCAGTCTGCCAAAATCGACTGCTCTCCTGCCAACCTTCACTTGCACGGCGTGCTGATGTGCTTGGTCGTGGCCATCCCCGGGGCTGCAGCCCGCCAGGCTCCTCTGTCCGTGCAATTTTCCAGGCAAGAATACTGGAGTGGGTGGCCATTTCCTTCTCCATGTACAGCTTGAACACCACTCAATTACTCAGCTCTGGAAAGCCTGGTAAACCATACCTGACCTACCTGTCTCGGACCTCCCCTACATTCTCTCATGAAGTTACATGGTTCTTCACCCGAGTCATTTCTACCAACTCCTATTCTATCAGACACTGATGTAGTTCTGGGCTTCCTTTACATTTATATTACTTGATATTTAACACGTGCTCTTTTCTATTGTTATCTATTTTATATAAACACCTGCCCCAGGCAGAGATAAACACATTTTTCGTGTATCTTTGAATATTGAGCCACTTGCCCACATTCAAAAAATACATGCTGGAGGTGTACTTTTCAGACAGCCAGAGCATAACCTACCTGGTGGGTTCAGGAGTTAAGAGATACGGATTAGAATCCCAAGTCTCACACTAGGTAGAGGGACAAACTAAGTTACTTAAACTCTCTCTCTCTGAACCTGGATTAAAAGGAGAATATACAGAGCTCAAAGTGGAAAAATCTATATAAAGGTGTCTAGCATGTAATGCTGAGTAAAAAGCAGATACTTTCTGAATACCAAAATGCTTAACTGTTGAAGAGATTTTCCTACCACAGATACTTTCTGAATACCAAAACGCTTAACTGTTTTAAAGAGATTTTCCTACCACACATTATGCATTTCTCTGCATTTTCTCTTATTAAAATTTGTCCAAGAAAATTTAGTAGGGCAGGAACAGCAGTAAACTGCCCATCCAGGACTCACAACACAAAGGCATACAGGAGTCAGGCAAATTACATAAATGAATAAAATGTGGCAGGTGTAAAGAAAAGGACTAAGGCAAGCAAGTGCACGTCCATCTAAAGTGAGCAGCCGATACTCCCAGCAGAACTAACATTTGAGTTGCCACATTTTCAAAGCCTATTTGTATGTCAAAATAAGTATTGGCAACTTACTTACAGGGAAAGGGGAGGAAGAGGGAGAAAGAGAGACTGCTGTGAAAGCCAAACCAAACACACCTTCAACTCAAATCTGTCCCAAGAGAATCGTCAGTCTGGAAACCCAGAAAGCCAACCTCATAACAATTTTAATTTCTAGACTGAAAGCTCTCAGGGACAGGGAGTAATGCTTGTCTTACTAATCATTATATGCCCATAGGACATATAAGTGCTTCTTCTTATTAAAGGAATGCAGTTCTGCCTGTGTTTTAAGATTCATGTCCAGGCTATTTCTTTTGCCTAACATATCCAGTCTCATTTTATCTACTCAGTAAATTTCTAGCTACCTTTCAAAGTACAGTGTAAACGTCTCAATGCCTCCAACAGTTTCCCCTAACACACTGTCTCCTCCCACTGCAATCCTGGAGAACTACTTCCCTGCTACGTTTACTGTGTGCCCTATCATATTACTTGACACCACTCTCAAAACCACACCCCAATTACAACTCAACACATTATACTGTAGTTATTTGATTATGTATTTGCTTCACACCCTGTTGCCAAAGTTTAGAAAACAGCAGTACTTTCTCATCTTAGAAATTCCCAGTACAATGTTCTGTTCCTTTCATATACTAGGAAAATGCTTACAAGTTGACTATAGTTTTTTTTAATCAGTATCATTACCTTGCAACAAATTTGGAAGAATGGAAACACACGTCACTGAATTCATTCTGATATTATATCCAAAAGACTTGTTCCATCTTATAATGTAATTAAGGATGAATTAAATTCAGATGACCATCATACCTACTACTGTGGGCAAGAATTGCTTAGAAGAAATGGAATAGCCCTCACACTCAACAAGAGTCCAAAATGCAGTACTTGTGTGCGATCTCAAAAACGACAGAATGATCTCGATTCATTTCCAAGGCAAACCATTTAACATCACAGGAATCCAAGTCTATGCCTCAATCACTTATGCCAAAGAATATGAAGTTGAAAGGTTCTATCAAGACCTACAAGACCTTCCAGAACTAACACCAAAAAAAGATGTCCTTTTCATCACTGGAATGCAAAAGTAGGAAGTTAAGAGACACCTAGAGTAACAGGCAAGTTTGGCCTTGGAGTACAGACTGAAGCAGGGCAAAGGATAACAGAGCTTTGCTAAGAAAACAAACTGGTCATAGTGAACACCCTCTTCCAACAACACAAGAGAAGACTCTACACATGGACATCACCAGAAGGTCAATATCGAAATCAGACTGATTATATTCTTTGCAGCCAAAGATGGAGAAGCTCTACACTGTCAGAAAAAAAACAAGACCTGGAGCTGACTATGGCTCAGATCATGAGCTCCTTATTGCAGAATTCAGACTTAAACTGAAGAAAGTAGAGAAAACCACTAGGCCATTCAGGTATGATCTAAATCAAATCCCTTGTGATTACAGTGGAGGCTGACCAACAGATTCAAGGGATTAGATCCAGTAGACAGAGTGCCTGAAGAACTATGGATGGAGGTTTGTAACACTGTACAGGAGGCGGTGACCAAAACCATCCCAAAGAAAAAGAAATGAAAGAAGGCAAAGCGGTTGTTTGAGAAGGCTTTACAAACATTTGAGAAAAGAAGAGAGGTGAAACATAAAGGACAAAAGGAAAGATATACCCAACTGATTGCAGAGATTCAGAGAATAGCAAGGAAAGATCAGAAAGTCTTAAGAACAATGCAAAGAAATAGAGGGAAACAACAGAATGGGAAAGACAAGAGATCTCAAGAAAATTGGAGATACCAAGGGAACATTTCATGCAAAGATGGGCACAGTAAAGGACAGAAACAGCAAAGACCTAACAGAAGCAGAAGAGATTAAGAAGAGGAAGCAAGAATACACAGAAAACGGTGCAAAGAACATCTTAATGATCCAGATAACCATGACGGTGTGGTCAATCACCTGGAATCAGACATCCTGGAGTGTGAAGTCAAGTGGGCCCTAGGAAGCATTACTACAAATAAAGCTAGAGAAGGAGATGAAATTGCAGCTGAGCTATTTCAAATCCTAAAATATGATGCTGTT